AGTTTCGAACTGCTGACCTTAAGGTTCGCAGCCCCATTCGTAACCACTACGCTACCAGAGCTATAGCATAAGGGGAAAAAAATCACGACTTCTGAATATTTGATGAAAAATTATATGAAGTTCTTTAAAAAAAAAAACACTTTGCCAAAACATTGCCAAAAAGTTGTAATTGTTTTGTTGTTTTGTTTCCATGATAACACAACTGTTTTTTTGTTTTTTTAAGCAGTATGTTAAGGATACCAGTAAGAAGGGCCTTAGCAGGTCTTGCTAAGACTCCTAAAGGATGTGGTGAGTATTTTTTTTTTTGGTCTGCGTTTTTTGGTAGCTTTGCAATTTCTATGTCTATGGAAATACTTCTTTTAAAAGACCCTAAAACCATGATTAGTTTTAGATAACATATAAACAAATGACCCTATTCAAATAAAATTTAAGCAAATGTCAGTAGGGGCTAGTTTTCAAACATGAAGCAGTTTACAGAATAGAAAGTAGTACGTAGTATGAACTTTCTAGTCCTTGCCCATCAGTACCAAAATTATAAAGGCACAGTAATTCTGCTTTTGAAACGCAGCCTTCCCATGAAGCATTATTAAATGTTCCAGATAAAACTAATATTAAAAGTAGTCAACCATACAACCACATTTCCATTTGATATTCATTGTTGAAAAACGTCTTTTTAACTCAAAACTTTAAAATTTGCTTCTAAAGAGCTAGAAGGGAATGACATAAAATAAAAACGTTAACATGGAAATTTTATGCAATCATATATATTTTATTAATCTACTATGAAAAATTCAACTCTATTAATTGTTTTCCACATGCATTTTCCCCCACACCTTAATATTTTTGATCATCAGTTCGCAAAACTTCCACAGCAGCAAGCAACTTGATTGAAGTATTTGTGGATGGCCAGTCTGTCATGGTAGAACCAGGAACTACTGTTCTCCAAGTAAGCATACACTGGAATTCTTTATTTTTGTGTGTATTCTGTTTGTTTTTAATACTGATATATTTTCTTTATACTGTGTATTTACTGTTTGTTCCGTAATTTTTCAAGAATTATTTATAAATTAATGCTCATAAAACTGTGGTGGTGGTATGCCGTGGAATCAGTGTCAACTCAGCAAAATTATATAAAAATAATTATGATTTTAAATCTTGGCATTGTAACGTTTTTCTGACACTCTTAATGAAATTTGTCGTTCTTGGTTTCTTTTCTGGCATTAGCAAAATTTGCCAGCTCTTTTCACTTCTGCCTTGCAAATGAATTCCCATTACATTTGAAATTACCTAAGATGCTAGAGGTAAGTTTATAAAAAAGAGATTACCTTTGCTGTGGGTCTGCTCGATGCTTTTCATGTTCATGCTTCCTTTCTTAGCAATATTTCTATGAATGTGCCCTACTTAGCAGGTAATTGGAAGTTTAGTACTTTCTTAAATTCATGCCCTAAGTACTTAATTTCTCCCAGTCCTTCCAGAAATAACTAACATAGTTATGGAGACGTGATGCCTCATTTCATCTGATTTATTGAACAGCTTAATGCTCTTTGTTCATTTCAGCAGTTGTTTTTAGACAGTCAGGCATAAATAAGTAAGTAATAAATGTAATGCCATATAGCAAAGGTATATTCAAGGCACAGTGGAAGTACTTTAATAAAACATAGAAAGTAAATGTTACATAGAGACAGGGAGGGATGCACATTTCCTGTGGAAAAATAATAAGCTAAGGCAAATATCTTGTGTTGTTGTGTGCCGTCTAGTTGGTTCCACCTCATAGCGACCCTATGTACTCAATGAAATACTCATAATCATTGCTATGAAATAGTCATAATCATTGTGCCATCCTCATAATCATATGCTTGAGCCCTTTGCTGCTGCCACTGTACCAATCCATCTTGGTGTTCTCCCTCATTTTCAATGACCCTACACTTTACCAAGTATGATGTCCTTCTCCAGGTACTGGTGTCTCCTGATGTATGCCCTAAGTATGATACATGAAATCTTGCCATTCTGGCTTCTAAGAAATACTCTGATTATATTTCTTCCAACATAGATTTGTTTGTTCTTCTAGCAGTCTATGGAATTTTTAATAATCTTCGCCAACACCATAACTCATATGTGTCATTTCTTCTACAGTCTTCTTTTTATTCATTGTCCAACTTTCAAATGCTTATGAGGCTATTGAAAACACCATGGTTGGGTCAGGTGCACCTTAATCCTCAAACTAACATCTTTCCCCTTGAATATATTAAAGAGATCTTATACAGCAGAGTTACCTAATGCAATATGTCATTTGATTTTTTTTTGAGGGGAGGGTTTAAATTTTGTATTTACATATCTATGATTTTTCACATGCAATCTTTTTTTTTCCAGTTTGTTTTTTTTTAATGTTTTATTGTGAATTGTGTGATAGTCTACATGGGAGAACATCAGCTTTACATTCATTCCATCATCTATCTCATTTGATTTTTTTGGCTGATGCTTTCATGAGTGTTGATAGTGGATCCAAGCAAAATGATGTGTATGACAACTTCAATCTTTTTCCATTTATCATCATGTTGCTCATTAGTACAGTGGTGAGCATTTTGTTTTCTTTACATTGAGGTGAAACCAATGCTGAAGGCTGTGGGCTTTTATCATCATCAGAATTATTTTAAGTCCTCTTCGCTTTCAGCAAGCAAGGGTGTATCATCTGCTTATAGCAGGTTGTTAATACGTCTTCTTCCTAATCCTAATGCCGCATTCTTCTTCACATAATCCAGCTTTTCATATTATTTGCTCAGCAAATAGCTTGAATAAGTATGGTGAATGAATACAAACCTGGAGCATACCTTTCCTAATTTTAAAACATTCTGTGTTCTCGTGTTTGGTTCAATTGACTGCTTCTTGGTCTATGTATGTGTTCCTCATAAGCATAATTAAGTGTACCAGAATACTAATTCTCTACAATGTTGTGCATAGCTTGTCATGATCTGCACAGTCGAAAGCCTTAGCATTGTCAATAAAGCACAGGTAAACATCTCTTTTAGCCAAGGTCCATCTGGCATCAGCAGTGATACCCATTGTTCTGCATTCTTGTCTGAATCCAGTTTGAACCTTTGGCAGTTCTCTGGCAGTGTACTGCTGCAGCCATTTTTTAAATACCGTTAGCAAAATTTTACTTGCATGTGATTTAATGATATTGTCCGTTGATTTCTGCATTCTGTTGTGTCGTCTCTTTGGAATGGGCACAAATACGGATCTCTTCTAATTAGTTGGCCAAATAGCTGTCTTCCAAATTTCTTAGCATAGATGAGTGAGTACCTCCAGTGTTGTATCAGTTTGTTGAAATATTTCAATTTGTATTCCATGAATTCCTGGGACCTTGTTCTTTGCCAATGCCTTCAGTCTACCTTGGACTTCTTACTTCAGTGCCATTGACTCATGATCATATACTACCTCTTGAAATGGTTAAACATTGACCATTTCTCTTTGGTCTAGTGACTGTATATTTCTTCCATCTTCTTTTGATGTTTTCTTCGTCATTCAATATTTTGCTATGGAAACCTTCAGTGTTTGAAGACAAGGTTTGCATTTTTCCTTCAGTTCTTTCAGCTTAAGAAATGCTGAGTATTTTCTTCCCTTTTATTTTACCAACTCTAGGTCTTTGCACATTTCATTGTAATACTTGACTTTGTATTTTTCAGCTGCCTTTTGAGTTTTTCTGTTCAGCTCTTTTTCCTCCTATGCCTTCCATTTGCTTTAGCATCTCAGTGCTGAAGAACAAGTTTCATAATCTCTTCTGACATCCATTTTGGTCTTTTCCTTCTTTCTTGTCTTCTTAATGTCCTTTTGCTTTCTTCCTGTGTGATGTTCTTGATGTTTTCCCACTACTCTTCTGGTCTTCAGTCATTAGTGTCTAATGCATCAGATCTGTTCAGATGATCTCTAGATGCACGGTGGAATATGTTCAAGGTCTTATTTTGGCTCTGGTGGACTTGTTTTAATTCTTTTCAGCTTCAGCCTTAACTTGCATATGAGCAATTGATGGTCTGTTACACAGTCTGCCCCTGGCCTTGTTTTGACTGATGATATGGAGCTTTTCTACTCTTTCTACAGATATAATCAATTTGATTTCTTATAAGATCATCTTATAAGGTCCATCTGTATTTATATTGTTTTAAAATGGTTTTTTGCAGTGAAGAAGTCATTGGTCTTGCTATCATGCTGTCTCCAGCATAATTTCTATCATCTGTACCATATTTTCTGATTACTGATCTTTCCTCTTTGTTTCCAACCTTAGCATTCCGATTACCAGTAACTGTCAATACATCTTGATTACATATTTGATCAATTTTAAATTGAAGAAGTTGGTAGAATTAATTCAATTTCATCATCATTGGCTTTAGTAGTTGATGCATACATTTGAATAATATTGGTATTAACTAATCTTCCTTGTAAGTGTATGGGTATCATCACAGACAGCATTATAATTCAAGATGAATCTTGAAATGTTCTTTTTGATGAAGAATGTGATGCCATTCCTGTTCAATATGTTATTTCCAGCACAGTAAACTATATGAATATCAGATTCAAAATGGCCAATACTAGTCCATTTCAACTCATTAATGCCTAGCATATTGATCTTTATGCATTCCATTTTATTTTTGACAACTTCCAATTTTCCTAGATTCATACTTGGAATATTCTATGTTCCTATTGTTAATGGGTATTTACAGTTGTTTCTCCTTATTTTGCTTTGTTTTCCATAAGCAAATGAAGGTACTAAAAGCTTTGCTCCTTTGTGTCATCACAGTCAACTCTAGTTTGAGGAAGCAGCTCTCCTCCAGTTGTTATTTTGAGTGCCCTCCAACCTGAAGGTTCACTTTCTGGCACTGTATCTGACAATATTCTGGTACTATTCATAATGTGTCAATAGTCTGGTGCTATCTGACAGTGTTCCACTGCTATTCACCAGGTTTTCAGTGGCTAAACATTCAGCAATAGCCTGCCTCTCCTTCCTAGTCTGCCTTAGTCTTGAAGCTCAGCTGCAATCTGTCCACCATGTGTGTCCCTGCTGCTATCTAAAATACCTGTGGCATAGCTTCCATCCATTATCATAGCAACACCAACAAACAAGTGGTGGCCCTAGCACTTTGTTGTTGTTGTTGTTAAGTGCCTTTGAGTCAGTTCTGACCCATAGAGACCCTGTAAAGGGTTTCAAAGGAGCAGCTAGTGAGCTTGAACGACTTTGCAGTCCAGTGCATTAACTCACAGTGCCACACCAGGACTCTAAATATATTTTTGCTAATTAAACGGTTAAAATATTAATATTTGATGAGATTGTTTTAGAGTGAGGACTGTGGATATAAAAACTAACTCTAGAGATAATTTGAACATAATTAGGATGAGCACTCTACTGCTAACCACAAGGATGGCAATTCAAACCTACCCACTGCTCCTTGGAAAACCTGTATAAGGTTGCTGTGAGTCAGAAGTGACTCAATAGCACAAAACAACAATACATAAAAGGAGGAAACACTTGCATTGGAAAGAGCTGAGGTGATAATTGGTAGGCTAGGACCCCAGAAAACCCTAATCCCCTTTGCTAGGCAAACAGAAAAAACTTCCTCCACAGTGTAGTGAGTCCTGGATGAAGTTTACAGAGGCAAGGATATGGAGTCCCAAGATAGAACTAGATCATAGACAGCTGGACCGGGTAAATGGAGTCTCTAAGTACTGGACTGGTAACCACAAAGTCAGTGGTTCAAACCTACTACAGGGTTGCTATGAATGGGGACCTACTAGACAGCACATTAACAACAGCAAATTCAAAATAGGAAAACTAGGCAAAGAGGAAGTTCATATATGAACCCACTGGAAGGAACTTTTGTGGAAACTGGCCCAAAGTTACTATCAGGAGTCAAGCTTTCAGCTTGTTACAAAGGTATTTTATCTGGTGTCTTCCTTAAAGAGACAGCTGCAAAACAAGAACAGACAAGGAAGGAAATCTCTTCAGGGTCAGAAATAGGAAGAATAAAGACTTAGACATTTATGTGAATAGGAGTGATTCAGATAGATAGGAGATGGCCTCATTTTTTCCTGGGTTTTAGGTAAGAATAAATATAAGGTAAGTCTGGTCATCCTAATGCTTTTTTTATGTTATGTTCTAGGCTTGTGAGAAGGTTGGCATGCAGATCCCTCGATTTTGTTACCATGAAAGATTGTCTGTTGCTGGAAACTGCAGGATGTGCCTTGTTGAAATTGAGAAAGCTCCTAAGGTACTTGATACCTAAAATTCCACACCATGCTGTAGAAGGTAGAAAATTTTAAATCTTGCAGCCAACTTTATTTAGAATCAATATTGTTTGATTGTTTTACAGTCAAAACTCTAGTGCTATATGGTTATTTCTAAGCTTAATATTTTTTTTTGTAGTCTCTTCATTTCAAAACTGGGAACACATTAATGAAAGTGCTTTATAAATGCAAGTATCATATATATAATATTTGGGGAAGTTGTGTGCCTTGGAGTCAGTTCCATCTCATAGCAACACTGTGTAGGGTTTCTGAGGCTGGAAATCTTATGGGAGCAGAAATCCTTATCTTTCTCCTGTGGAATGGTTGGTAGTTTCAAACTGCTAACCTTTAAGTTAGCAGCCCAACTCATAACCACTGTGCTACTAGAGCTCCTTTCATATAATAGTAACTTTTTACAGCTGTCAGTATTTTCAAATTATAATACAACAAACAAGCAAGATGGGACGTTGCCAACCAAGTATCACACAGGAAGTGCTTGTTTCACCATTTTCACCAGAGTGTTGCTATAAAGAGAGTTGCTTTCTCTTTGTAGTATTTTTTAAATGTAAAATAATATGTATAATATAAAATTTACCATTTTACCCTATTTTTAATTTACTGTGGCACTGGATACGCCACAAGGTCATTTTGAACCATAAAATCGACACTTCAAACCCACTAGCTTCTCCTCAGAAACCCTGTACAGGGTCATTATGAGTCAGAATTGACTCGATGGCACTTAACAACATTCAGTGGCACTAAGCACATTCATTATGTTGTGTTGTTGTTAAGTGCCATCGAGTCGGTTCCGACCCATAGCAACCTTGTATGGGGTTTCCAAGGAACAACTGGTGATCTTGGACCGCCAACCTTGCAATTCAAACGGCTTTGCAGACTGGCTCATTAACCCACAGCGCCACACCAGGACTCCTGTGTGACTCTCACTAATACCTTATTTCCAGGTTGTTGTTTATCATCTCAAATGGAAATGCTATCCCCATTAAACAACAACCCATTACTTCTCCAGTCCCTGATAATCTCTGATTCTACTTTCTCTCAATGAATTTGCCTATTCTAGATATTTCATGGGTTGAATCAAATACAGTATTTGTCCTTGTATGTCTGGCTTACTTCATATAGCATGGCTTCTTGGTTCATCCAGGTTGTAGCATGTATCAGAACTTCGTCCTTTTTTATGGTTGCATAATATTCCATTTGTATGCATGTTGTTTATCCATTTGTTTGTTGATGGACACTTAGATTGATTCCATGTTTTGACTATTGTAAATAATGCTGCTATAAACATTTGTGGATCTGTTTTGAGTCTCTGATTTTAGTTCTTTTGCATATAATCTAAGAGTGGAATTACTGATTATATTTTGTTCACTTTTTGAGTGAACACGAAATTGTTTTCCATGGTAATTACACTAACTATACAGGAGGGTTCCAGTTTCACCACATCCTTGCCAACATTCATTATTGTCCAGTTTTCTGCGTTTGTTATTTGGGGTTTTGTTTTTTTGTTTTGTTTTGTTTTTTTATAATAGCCATCCTAGGTTTGAAAGGAGTCCTGGTAGTGTAGTAGTTATGAGATGGGCTGCTCACTGTCAAGTCAGCAGTTCAAATCTACCAGCTGCTCCTCAGGAGAACTATGAGGCTTTTACAGCTTTGGAAATTTTGTATAGAATCACCATGAGTCTGAATCAACTCAATGGTACACAGCCACCACTGTTACATCCTAGGTGTGGCATGATATCTCACTGAGTTGATTTGCATTTCTTTAATGACTAATGAGGTTGAACATCTTTGCATGTTTATTAACCATTTGTATAATTTCTTTGGAAAACTGTCTCTTAAGCCCTTTTCCCATTTTAAATTGTTTGCTTTTTGTTGTTGAATTTTAAGAGTTTATGTATTCTGGATATTATACCCTCATCATATATATGGTTATCAAGTATTTTTTTGCAATTTTATGGGTTCTCTTTACTTTCCTGGCAAAACCCTTTGATGCATGTTGCTCTAAAGTGTCGTTGAGTCACTTCTGACTCAAACTAACCCTTTATAGAGTTTCCAAGGAACTGCAGGTATGTTTGAACCGCCATCCTTGTGGTTAGCAGTCCAGTGCTTGTCCTGAGTGCCACACCAGGACTCAGTTTGATACATAAAAGTTCTCAGTTTTGATAAAATACGTTCTATCTAATTTTTTTCTTTGTTGCTCACGTTTTTGGTGTCGTATTTAGGAATTTGTTGTCAAAAACAAGCCCTCAAAGCTTTACCTCTGGGCTCTCTTCTAACAGTTTCATGGTTTCAGTTCTTATATTTAGATCTTTGATCCATATCGAGTTAATTTTCATATATGAATAGGTCCATCTTCATTCGTTTGCATTAGAGATCCAGTTGTTCTAACACTGTCTATCAAAGAGTCTGTTCTTTCCACTTTGAGTGAGTGGACTTAGCACCTTTGTTGGAAATCAGTTGACCATAGATATGTAAGTTTATTTTTGGATTTTCAATTCTATTCTCTTGGTTTGTATGTCTATTCTTACGTATGAGTAGCACAGTGTTTTGATTACGCTAGCTTTATATTACACTTTAAAGTTAGGAAATTTGAATCATACTATTTTGCCACCTTTTCAGTGTTGTTTTGATTATTCTTACATAAGGGTCCCTTGCCATTTCATTTCAATTTGAGGATCAACTTTTCCATTTCTGAAAGGAAGGTTGCTTTTGTTAAATCTGTAAATTGATTTAGTTAGTATTGACTATATATATTAAGTCTTCTAGTCCATGAACATGAGATGAGATGTCTTTCTATTTGAGTTGTCTTTCATTTCTTTCAGCACTGTTTTATAGATTTCAATGCAAGTATTTCACTTCCTTAGTTAAATTTATTCCTAAGTATTTTAATCTTCTTGATGATTTGCTATCATTTTAATTTAATTGCCTTTTGGTTTATGGAATTTTAATTCATTAGTACCTGCGATCAAAGTACAGTTATTGTTTTGTTTCAGAAGTTCTTATAGAAGATTATTATAATAAACTTAAGAAGTAGGGTTTCTTGTTTATTCTTTTAAGAAATGTAAAGTACCATGTTGTCATGTTATGAAATAAATGGAAAATTTTTAACTTATATCTTGAAAAGACTATGTTCTTTGCTTTTGAATTGTAACTTAATCTTTTTATGTATTGTGTTGCTTACAATTACAAGAAAGGAATATAAATACTTAAAGATTTTTCCATTAAAATTCCAGGTTGTAGCTGCGTGTGCCATGCCTGTAATGAAAGGTTGGAATATTCTAACAAACTCAGAAAAGTCTAGGAAAGCCAGGTACTTTATTCCATACAATGAATTTTCTAGAGCAGAAAATTGTACATATCAGCATTTAGACCTTCCAGGAGATTAGGAATTCATTCTCAAACTGCAGAAAGTGGTGTCCTTCTAGGGGCAGTGGAAATGTCAAGTCAAAGGTTTGTGGTATTGGACCTGGTGTGGGATCAGCAATAAAATCCTTTGTTCCAAAGTTGATCAACTTAAAACAGTCAGTCTGGGCTTACTGAACTCAGTTTTGCAGTGGTATACTGGGAAAAATTATTTAATCCTTCATTACACTGATTGTGTCTACTTGTTTGTATCTTGCATTCTTGTGTATCTGCTTTGTTTTGAATTAATGTGAATATTTTCCACGGATCACTAGTAAATTTGTGATAATTATATATTGCTAAAAGTTACAGTTTTTTAGATTCTCTAATGACATTCTATTATGTTGTTGTTGTGAAGTGCTGTCGAGTCAGTTCCAACCCATAGCGACCCTGTATAGGGTTTCTGAAGAGCAGGACTCCTATAAATGTGCTTGGATTGTAATTAATGTCGGAATAATAATTAAATTGGAAATTTTTTATAATAAACCTAAAAATAACTGTATGAGAGATCATCCATCTGTGAGGATTACTTGAATATCCTATATGTAAATCAGTCTGAACACTAGCAATTTGTGTCATTTTACATATTATGATTTTCTATACAGAGAAGGGGTGATGGAGTTCTTATTAGCAAATCATCCTCTCGACTGTCCTATTTGTGACCAGGGAGGTGAATGTGATCTGCAGGTACATGTTCTAATGTTGTGCATCTTTTTTATTATCTCAAGTTTTAACTTCATTATCAGCATTAGCTTGACTCTTTGATAATCTACTTAAGGACCAGTCCATGATGTTTGGAAGTGACAGGAGCCGATTTTTAGAGGGAAAACGTGCTGTGGAGGACAAGAACATTGGGCCATTGGTAAAGACCATTATGACTAGATGTATACAGTGTACTCGCTGCATCAGGTAAGTTTCTCTCTTTCCTTGAGTGTCAGTTTTACACTTAATTTATTTACCAGTTTGGTGGAATAGCAACAATGGAAACAAGGTTAAGTTTTACTTAGAATGTGGTGGGTATTTTTAATGTTTTTTTCCAGAAATCAATAAAATCATAGTTGTTTGATTTTAGTTAATATCAACTTCTGTTGTGTTGAAAAGTAATAATTTGCAAATACTCATTTTGTGTTAACTTAGTTATATATGTATGACTTATGCACTTAAAAATTAAAAAGTAAACATTATTTTTGATTCATGACTATTCACTTTGAAAATTCCTTCCTTTTTTTCATATTTTAAAAATCACTGTCTTTATGATTATGAATAGAGGAGGTAATTTTGATAGATTCTACCATTTGACAATACCTTTTTATCTTCTAGGTTTGCTAGTGAGATTGCAGGAGTAGATGATTTGGGAACAACAGGCAGAGGCAATGATATGCAAGTTGGAACATACATTGAAAAGATGTTCATGTCTGAGCTATCTGGGAATATCATTGATATATGCCCTGTAGGTGCCCTGACTTCTAAGCCCTATGCCTTTACTGCCCGACCTTGGGAAACAAGGTATTTGTCTTTGCAGTTTTTGATAGCTTGTTATTTGTTCTTACTGTTTAAGTGTGGTCAAGTCAATTTGAATCATGGTGACTCTATGTAGGGTTTTCAAGGAACAGCTGGTTAGTTTGAACTGCCAACCTTATGGTTAAACGGACCCTGCATTCCAGTGCATTATCCTGCAGCACCATACCAGGACTCCTATTTGTCCTTGTTGTTGTTGTTAAGTGCCGTTGAGTCGATTCCAACCCATAGGGAACCTGTAATAGAGTTTCCGAGAAGCAGCTGGTGAGCTTAAACCACCACCGACCTTGCAGTTCAAATGACTTTGTAGTCTGACACATTAGCCCACAGTGCCTTAGCTCAATACTATTTTAAAAAATTAAGGGTCATTTTCTTTATTCATTTATTCTTTCAAGGAATGAGATAATCTTGATTTATTAATTTATAGTCTCTTCTTTAATTGTATGTTGTTTTCCACCACACAGATCCATGACATTTGGTTTGACCAGTTCCCTGTTACTGGACATTTAGATTGTTTCTAGTTCCATATTACAAACCTGTGATTCTTCCTTGAAATTAAACCAAGAAATGGATTAGGTAGATTCAGAAAGCTTTTTAAAAACTTTTTATTGCAATTTAGTGAAAGTTTACAGAACAAATTGGTTTCGCATTCATCACTTCATATATATTTTGATATGACATTGATGGCAGTCTTCCCACTTCCTCCGGGTTTACCATTTCCATTTCTCTTTTTTTTTTCCCTATTCCTTCCTACTTTATGAGGGTTTTGTTTTTAAGCTTTTATTGTGAATTGAGTGATAGCTTACATGGGAGAACATCGGTTTGACACTCATCCTATTGTATTTCATTTCATTGCAATGATTACAGTCCCCTCCATTCATCATCATATAACAGTATTTGCTTCTTTTCCTCTCTCTCTTTTTTTTTTTTTTGTACACAAAAACACTCAGGAATATATAATCATTGAAACAACCAAAAGGCACATTCTGCAAGCGTGCCTCCTGGCTGCTAGCACACAGACTTTCTCTTTCCATGAGTCTAGAGTCCTCAGCTACTCTAGCTCCTCGACATGTCATCATCTCTGCCTCCAACTCTAATGTCACTTCTTCTCTGGATAGGGTTCCATATTCTGTGCATGCTCTTCTTCCTTGATGGTCCTAGGGTATTTTGTTCCTAGAATGTAAGATTAACTATCTCCACCACCACCCCTTTATATTACAAAACTTCTACCTTTACAGTTGTGATAGTCACAGTTAGTCATGGTAACAATTACTCACTATTGAATCATAAGAATCTTAACCCCATCTTCTTTCACCAGACCTGTCTAAACAAGATGAAAACTATTCAGTGGGGATTCTACCTTCCCCTGCACACTCTGAAACTAAACTCCCTCTTAAAAACTTGTAAGCCAGTCATTTTGTGCCTTTATAGCCCCCCCATTTTAAATAGCCAATGTCTAAGTTGCCCACCTTTTGAGTTTTATACCTTGACAAATGCTGGCCTTCTGATCTCATATGTTGATTGCTCTGAAGAGTGGTGTGTAGATTGCCCTCCAGTTTTAAACTAACTTCACAATAGTAAGAGAGAGTATCTCAAACCTCCGTGTTTTAAACCACGTGTTTCTGTGTGCTTGCATTCAGCCGCACATAAATACATGGTTTAAAGCACGGTTATTGGTTGTATGATTGATTGAACCCGCCCTGTTGTGCTACTGAAGAAAGGCATGACAATCTTCTTCCATAAAGATCACAGCCAGAAAAATCCTATGCAGTAGTTTTACTCTGTAACACATGGAGGTAGTCATTAGCCAGAATCAGATCAGCAGCAACAGGTTTTTTGGTTTGGTTTTATTAACTTATCAAAAAGATTTAATTTGCAAGGTTAATTTGAGAGGTCAGGTTGAGAGGCAGGGTAACCCATTCAAACCAAACCCACTGCCATTAAGCCAATTCTATAACATAGCAATACTATGCAGAGTTTTAAGACTAAATCTTTACAGACATAGACAGCCTCATCTTTCTCCTGCAGAACAGCTGGTGGGTGAATGCCTAACCCACAGCTCTATCAAGGTTCCTCAGGGTGGGTGATGGAGAGAGTGAATAATGAGTTTCAGTAAAAGACTACCTTTAAATTTTCAGATAAAGCACGTCTGTTGGCAACGTTCTTGTATTTTTTATTTATGTGGAAATGTCTTGGTTTTGCCTTTGTTTTTGAGGAATAGTTTTTCTTAGTATAGAATTCTTGGGTGATAGTTGTTTTTTCTTCTTTAATTACTTTGAATATGTCATTTCACTGCCTTTTGACTTCTGTTTCTGACGAGAAATTCGCTTTTAATTTCATTGACTCTCCCTTCTATGCAATGTTGTTTATATCTTGCTGCTGTCAGTTTTTGGTTTTATTTTTAGCTTTCAATATTTTAACTGATGTGTCTACATGCAGCTCTCTTTGTATATATCCTAGCTGGAATTCATTGAGTTTGAACGTATAGATGAATAGTTTTTCATCAAATTTAAGATGTTTTTAGCTATTTCTTTTGCCCCTTTTTCACCTCTCTTTTTTGGGATGCTAGTAATGCATATATTAATACACTTGATGTTGTACCATAGTTCTCTGAGTTACTGCTCATTTTTGTTTTTTCTCACTGTTTCATTAATGTTTGTTTAAATGTACAGCTTCATTCTTTTGTCATGTCAGATTTGCTGTTGAGCCCCTGTAGTACATTTTTTATTTCAGTGACTGTACATTTCAGTTTTCAAGCCCAGAATTTCTATTTGGTTTTGTTTATATATATATAATTTCTGTATCCTTTCAGAGACTATGTACTCATTGATTCATGATTGTCTTACTTTCCTCTACTGTGTTGTTACACAAATAATGCCTACATTTTAAGGTTGTTACTTGTTTTTAATTTTTTGACAAACTGTTAATTTCCTAAAAGTGCTTTGTGCATGTGTTATTTAAGCGTTATATACGAAAATACAGTAATTTTTAAATGGTTTAAAATAGTAGCCAGACAATTGTGGGACAGAAATTGTGCTCAAGCACCTTGAGCTGTCCTCTGCTAATGGAACTGTTGTAGGCAGAGGAGTACAGTCAGAGTTCTGGCTGTTTTTAAATCTGTCTAACATTTACTTTCCTCTGGACCCTTTGAATCTCGGGGTTGTCTAGGAGTGTAAATGGCTTAGGCTCTCTCTAGTCTCAGCTGGGCATATGTATAGTCTCACCTATAGAAATGCTTGCCCAAACTATGATTACAACCTCAGACCAGTACAACGTTAGCTCTCTCCTCAGCTCACCCATCTCCAAAATATCATTTTCTAGACAGCTTGTTCCAAATTAAGTGTATCTTCATCTTTAACAGAAAGGTTCCGTCTCTTTATAGCCTGCTGCACGCTAGCAGGGGGTTAAGCAATTGAGGAGTAGCCCCCTAACCAAAATAACACAGATTTCTACTGTTCTTACTTGAAGGTCAGCAGTTTTTCATGCATAAAACCTTCTCAGATTGTTTTATGCCTTTGGTAAATTTCCAAAGCACGGACATGATTGTTTGTGTCAGTTCTGTCCACCTTTGTTTTCACTTTTTGCCTAGTTCCATACTTAGCCAGAGTTACCAGTCGTGTTCCTCTGGTTATTTATGTTGATACTCAGATTATCCTAGATGTGATCAATTGAAGCCCCTCTAGACTGGCTTTTGTGTCAGGTAGCGGTTTTTAAGGATTCATTTCTACATTAGGGTTTATATGATACCTTCAGATATGAAGATAAGCTTTTAAATTGCTAATTCCTATGACTTGTTATTTTCAGAAATTCAGAAAAAGTAGGAATTTTTCTTAAACCAGGTAGCAGAAACTTTCTTCGTATTCCCAAAATCAAGAGAAATAGACTTGCTTGTTTTCCCCTTTTCTCAGAAAGACAGAATCCATTGATGTGATGGACGCCATTGGAAGTAATATTGTGGTAAGCACAAGAACTGGAGAGGTGATGAGAATTTTGCCAAGGATGCATGAGGACATTAATGAAGAGTGGATCTCTGACAAAACTAGGTATATGCTAGATTATTTTCCCTGACTGTTGCTATGAATTTAAAGGTAGTTGTTGTTTTAATTTTACATTTTTATTCATGTTTGTAAATTAGTTAAAATAAAGACTGTTGGAATTTTGACTTATATAGAAAATTGGGCAAAATTAACATATTACTCATTCTCTGTATTAATTTCAAGAAAGCTATTTTTATCTCCCTATTGGAGAAATTGAAGTAAATTAAGATGTGTTTGCATCCTACTTCAGTTTGTTCATTGGCTAAAAGAAGATAAATAGAAATTAGAGTTTAGAGGTACTAAATTTTATAACAAATTAATTGACTTTTCTGGCTATTAAATTTTTTGTGTATCATGATTTTAAGAATGTTGAGCTTTCTGAAAATACAAGAAATCAAACTTTTAGATTGTATTCTAATTTGAGGTAATGTTCATAAATAATCTGCTTATTAGTCCATCTCTCAAAAAAACCTGGATAAATTACTTGTATCCAGACATCTACAATTCTGTTTAACACCTTAACCAGTGCTATATTTAGATAACATTTCTTGTGGACTTTAAACTTGAAAATTTTAATTAAGTATATCGAATCCACAAATGGCAATCATTTCTGTTATCTAGATTTGCCTATGATGGGCTAAAACGGCAAAGACTTACCGAGCCAATGGTCAGAAACGAAAAGGGGCTTTTAACCTATACCTCCTGGGAGGATGCACTGTCTCGTGTCGCTGGAATGGTAAAGAAATCAAATATGTTGTAAATGAAGTATTTATGATTTTTCAAGGGACTTCTTTGCAGTTAAGAAGGAGTATGTGTGTCTCCACTTTTGTATTCTTACCAATATTTGATTGAACTCCTTTCCTTTATCATTTATTGAGAACCGTATGCCAGATGTGTTGCTAGATGCAGGGATATAAAGACCACTACAATATGCCCCGACCCCACAATCTTATGGAGAGAAAGTTATATAATTAAGCAATTATTATACATTGCTGTGGACTGTGCATACGGTGGTGTAAAAGAGAGCATGTAGACAGATGGAGTGGCTGGGGACTCTAGACCCAGAGAGGGAGAGGGGCTGTGTGCTGGGGGGAGTGGGGGGAGAGCAAGCTTGCAGGCTATACTCTTTGGTTGGTTGATGATGCATGGAGGGGATTGTAACCATGACAATGAAACGATATACAAGAGGATAAATGTAAAGCTAATGTTCTCCCATGTAAACTATCACATAATTCACAATAAAACATTCAAAAAAGAGAGAGAGAGCATGTAGGAGGGGTTGCCTGGCCAGGACAAGGATACCAAGGATGCCTTCCTAGGAAACATCTTAGAATGAGTACTAGGTTACTCATTCTGACAAATAGGAGGGATGGCTTTCCCCTCCAGGAAAAGGGGTATATGCAAAAGAGTAAAGAATAAGTTGTACTTAAGGAAACTGTAACTCTCCAGTCTTTGTCCTCTAGACCTCATTTTGAGTCTCCTTTGTTCCTAGACAGAAAACAGCTGCTGTCCTCCAAGCTAATGTCATTAGCTTTGACCTCACATATACCTCTGCTTCTCAGTTTTTAGAGTGTTTTAGATTAATTTATAATTGTTATCAAACTTTTTAGCCAGAAGGTTATTATACTTAAAAATTAGTGTTTTGTTTCCTAAATTATTGTTGTTAAGTACCGTGGAGTCAGTTCCAACTCATAGTGGCCCTGCACAGGGTTTCCGAGGCTGCAAATTTTTATGGGAGCAGAAAGCCTCATCTTTCTCCCGCGGAACAGCTGGTAGTTTCGAACTGCTGATTTGAGGTTAGCAGCCCAACTCGTAACCACTACGCTACCAGAGCTCCTTGTTTTCTGAATAGTTCATTGTAATCTGCTGAGTATAGATTTCTTCCATTTCTAGTTGCAGAGTTTTCAAGGCCAGGATGTAGCAGCAATTGCAGGTGGCTTTGTGGATGCTGAAGCCCTAGTAGCTCTCAAAGATTTGCTTAATAGAGTGGACTCTGACACCTTATGCACTGAAGAGGTCTTTCCCACCGCAGGAGCTGGGTGAGAAGTAGGAAATTAAGATCAAAGATTTTTTTTTTTTTTCTTTTGGTTACAAGTTATTTATAATTCACCAAGTCTGACTTACATGAGCCCTGGTGCGACACTGTAGGATAAGCACTGGACTGACTGCTAACCATGAGATCAGCAGTTCAAACCCACCAGCTGCTCCTTGGAAACCCTAACTAAGCACAGTCACTATGAATTGGAATCTACTCAACGGCACATAACAGTGACTTACATGTGATAACTTGGATTCTCCAGTACCAACCAATTTACTTTTACTTAAAGACCAAAATCAAACCAGAAGCTGTAAAAACATAGGAGAATCCAGTTGTTTATAAGTATCTAATACTTTAATATAATCTAAGAATACTTGATTAAAATTTTTTGTTTGGGAATGCCTTAGGTTGGATGGAATGAGAGTATTCATGGATTCTCGATGTATAAAGTAAACTTGCATTTTATATCTTTTCAGCACAGATTTGCGTTCCAATTACCTTCTTAATACTACAATTGCTGGGGTGGAAGAAGCAGATGTTGTCCTTCTAGTTGGTACAAATCCACGTTTTGAGGCACCACTATTTAATGCTAGAATTCGAAAGAGGTTAGTGATAATATTTAGGGTTTAAAATGTTATTTCTATTTCATATGTGAAAAATGGCATTTTGTTACTTCTTAACAGTGTTAGGGACTCCTGATGTAATGCTATAGGATAGCGCTAGACTTAAGACCACAAGGTCAGCAGTTCAAACTTACCAGCTGCTCCTCAGAAACACTATACAGGATTGCTTTGAGTTGAAACCAACTCTACAGCACTTAACAACAATAGTGTTAGTGGGAATGGTACTCCAAAAGATGTTATGTGCCATCGAGTCTGTTCTGACTAGAACCAACCGTGTCTATATAGAGCTTCTAAGGAGCAGCTGATGAGTTTGAACCACCAACCTTGTGGTTCAAACCAACTTGGCAGGCCACTGCTTATTCTACAGTGCTCCTTTAGTGCTCCAATCCAAAAGATGATTGGAGGACAGTTCTTCACTGTGTATTTATTTTTGTTAGCTTTTTATTCTGGAATACTAAGTTTACAAAAGGATTGCTTGAAATGTGCTTTGTATATCCTTCAGAATCATCAGTTGGTAATATTTTGGTACATTTTCTTTGTTATTCTTTCTGTGTGTGCATGTGTATTTATATGTGCTTATGGTTTCTGAATAATGTGAGTCATTTGTTGTGATCGTTATACCTAAATACTTCAGTGTGGGCTTCCTAAAAACAAGGGGATTTTCTAACATAATCAAGAAATTTGGTATTGATATAATAAAAGAGAACTTCTAAAAGTTCATGGAAAAATAGAAGTAAAAGGTAAGTGAATTCTTCCACAAACTTTTTGAAGCCCCCTCATATTATATTCAATAGCTTATATTCAAATTTCATTCATTTCCCCATAGCTTTTTTTATAATGGTTATTTTTTATGTCTAGGATCTAACCTGGTGTCACACATTGCAGTTAGTGTCATGTGTGTCTTTAGATACCTCTTTTTTTTTTTTTTGACATTTTTGATGACTGCTATTGGCTACCGTCAGTCAGTTTGCATCATAGCTACTTTATGAACAAACCTTTGGCAGCCTCAGCTACTGTTAACATTCCCTCTCATTAGACGAACACAGGAGAATTCTTTTGTACCTTAATGACTTAGAGTGACCATATAATTTGTTATCTAAACCAGACACTTGGGGAGCTATTAATTACTTTAAGATAAAAGATATAAGCCAGCAAGCACTGACGGAGATAAACTAGGATATACAAGAGTAATTCAACAAGTCTTGCTAGTAGTGTTATACGTGCATGGGCTTATTGAAAACAAAATGTGTTTCAGTATATCTCAGTAATCGGTAAATGGCTGCAGATTACTCAGTAATGAAACTTTATTAGTTATATGATGTATGTTATAGAGTCTGGTGTAGCACTATAGGATAAACACTGGACTGCAAGGTCGATTTGAACTGCAAGGCTGCAGTTAAAACCTACCAGCTGCTACTCAGAAACCCTATACAGGGTCACTGTGACTTAAAACCGAATGGACTACACTTAACAATAGCATACTATATCATAAATTAGGGAGCCTTCAAAAAAGAATACAATTATAACAGTAGCCTCTGAGAACATCTGCTGGGCCATTTAAATATAAGTCAGAGAGGGTCTGCTCAGAAGATTATGGAGACTGGTGTTTGGGATCCCAATGGTGTGATTTCTCAAAGAACAGGGGATGATCATGGAAGCTTATTAGGAAGACATTTGAAGAAAATTGGAAACTGCATTGGTAAGAAAAGAGCCAGGGAAGTTGCACTGAGGAATTTTTTTTTTCTATCACTACAATATACTTGCTTTTTCTTCCAGCATAGCATGAACTTCCTACAATAATTTTCTTGGGAAACCTTAACCCCACCTACCACACAGCTCCAATCTTGCCCCTTCAGACATCTTTTTGTTCACAAAACTCAAAAGAAAATTTAAAGGGAATACAATTTGAGTCCATTGAGGATGCCAAAACTGCTGTTTTGATACGGGATAAATTGAAGAATGCAGAATTCTGTAGGGAATGTTGAGAGAAAGAAATACCTCCTTCAGAAGTATATAGGCCTATATGGGGGTTATGTTAAGAAAAAATGGCTTCACATTTAGATATTTTTGCTTACGGGTTTCTTTTTATAGCACTGTCCTTTTGATCTTGAATTGTTTGACCACTCCATGGTGAGCATACCTTACTAGTGTGTTGACTGCCCTGTATCCCTTTCACTGCTTGGCTGAAAATTGGTCCATGAGGATGAGTTTATTACAGACCCGGAGGGTGGCTGTGTAGCACTGCTTTTTAACATACCTTTTTATGGTTACCAATATGAATGACATAGTTTATTGTCAGGAACAACATTTGAGTGGAATTAGTGTATAATTATTAGTGCTGATGGTTCTGTAGGATAAGCACTGGGCTGCTAACCACAAGGTCAGCAGTTCAAACCTAACAGCCTCTCAGTGGGAGAAAAATCAGACTTTCTACTCCAGTAAAGGTTTACAGCCTTTTACAGGATTGCTATGAGTTGGAACCGACCAGGCAGCACCTAACAACCACAAAACAATGAATAATTAAGAGATACAGAAGCTGTATATAAATATTACAAAATACAAACTGGATTGATTTTTAAATTAAAGTCCTTGTTTATAGTTAGCTTGAACTTATCATTCCTACAGCAAAGTGATTCATTGAATTACCTTGGCCTGTGTGTTTGCCTGGTCATCATTTCTGAGTGGGAAATGGACAATTGGTTTGGTTGGTCAACTCTGTTGATTTTTTGTGTTTTTTAGAAAAGTACACTAACAGCTTTTAAGAGGAAATCTATGAGTATTCTTGTGCTACTTTTGCAATAGTAAATTAATGTAGCACGTAGCAGTGATGAGACTAATAACTCTAACTTATTTATCTCTATAAGCTTTTTTTTTTTCTCATTTCAGCTGGCTTCATAATGACTTAAAAGTGGCCCTAATAGGCAGTCCAGTGGATCTGACTTACAGATATGACCACCTGGGAGACTCCCCCCAAATTCTTCAAGACATTGCTTCAGATAGGCATCCATTCAGCCAGGTGCTCTCAAGTTAAATGTATCTACTCTTAATGATTTTTAGTTCTTGTTATTTTTTTAAGTTTATTGTTTTTATAATACTCATATGTGACTGATTACTGCTAAGAGTTATAGCAGTACATACGTAACATGTGAGGAAGTAAAGATGTACCCAAAACCCTTATAGCCCAAAACAAGTTTTAATGAAACATTATACCATCGTGTTATTCATATATAGAGCAAGATGGATGGGTAGATAGTCAAAGAAACAAAATTGAGATCCATCTTGTGCATAGTATTTTTATTTACCAGGGTTTCATTTTACTTGTAATTAACAGAAAAGAAATTAAAGTAAAAGAACTGAACTTCAAACTCCTTTTTTTGTTTTTTACTGCAAAAGTTATTATTCTTAAAACACAATTTTGCATACTGTTTTCATTCCCAGGTTCTAGACTTGTTGATTTGTTGACTGGAGTTTATCGTTTATAAGGTTTTTGTTTACTTGTTTTTCAAGAAGGACATATGGAGTCCTGATGTGGCACCATAGGATAAGTGCTCGACCTCAGAGTTGGTTTGAACTGCAAGATCAACAGTTCAAACTCACCAGCCACTCCTCAGAAACCCTATACAGGGTAACTGAGTCGGAAATCGACTCGATGGCACTTAACAACAACAGTTCTCAAGGACACATAGGTGCTCTGTTTCTTCTGTTACTTGTACAATTCTGGGGTCAGCTTTTTCCCCTCTCCAAACTTGAAGACCTGCTTCACTGCTTTCTGTTAACTACAGAGAAGTCTGAAATCAGTGTTAATGCTTTCCAATTACACCACCCCCATGATTTTTTTTTGTTTATATACTTTATCATTGAAATCACCTGAATATGTTAATGGTAGTTTTCTACCCTTCTTATTTTTATGGTGCTTTTCAGTCTGAAAATCTGAGATTTCTCTGTGTTGTAGAATTTTGAGTTTTTGTGTGTATTGTTTATAAGAAAGCGAGAGTGTAAATTTCTCAGACAACAAATGATCCGGAGGTTGATAACTAAAGATGATACAGTTGTCTTAGCATCTCAAGGAGGAGCCTTTCTCTGCTATTTTCAGTATATTTACTTGCTCGAGTGCACCTGTGGATGAGAGTGTTTTGTGTGTGTGTGTGTGTGTGTCTGTGCATGCGTGCACACACGCATGTACCCATTCATGGGCTCTTTCATAGCTCAAACATAATTGCGTCAATTACAGCTTCAGCTTTACATTCCAGGCAAGAAGTGCTAAAGAACAAAGTTGCCAAGCCCCACAACTCTTTTGTTTAACATTATTATGATTAAAAGAATGACAATATAAAAAGGGTTTTAGTGAAAAGTTTTTCTTTTTAGTTCCATTTCTATCTCTAAGAACTTATCTAGTGTTCTTAGGGAATATTTTTCTTCTATTATAGATTTAAATATTTTTTGTTCTATTCTGTTTTCATTAATAACACAACTATAAAGGTAATCAGTTTCCCTAAATTTCATATTTATCATTTCTAAACGTTTTCCCTTTGTTCTCTTCTATTCAGTTTGTTTTGTATAGTTTCCTATAGTCTGCCTTCCTTATATTTACTGTCATGTTTTATTTTGTGTTGTATTGCTTCTAGAGT